TTATTTATCTACAGAAATTTTAACCCATAAATGCATAAATATGGATCATAGGGTCGTTATAAGGGGCATTATTTGGAACAAGAGTGACAGAACCACATTTGTCCCTTTTCTAGCTGCAACAAAGACTGCCATGTCTTTTTTTCACTTTTTCTTTTGTTTTAATCACGAATTATAAGATGCTAGATTTTTGTATTGCGTATTGTGTTAGCAATTATTCATTCATTCAGACAATCAATCAAGCCATTAAAATCCCACTACATGAAAACGGCTATATGGATCGCAAGTCACCATTGTGCTCGATCAAAACACACATTCTAATTCAAATTTAATATTTTAAATCATGTTAATAGTAACTAGTGTGCATCCCGTGCGATGCACGGGCAAACTTATTACTTAATTTTTTTTTAAAAATAATTATTTACATTTAACATCTCATTATTGCAACAAAATAAATTCAAAATATAAAAAATTATATATTATTTATTTGAATGTAATGAGTGTCCCCAACAAAACCAATAACATCCAACACATGATATATGATAAAAATAATTACATGAATCGTCATGCTTTTTAAATTAAATATATATATATATATATTTAATAAATATGAGATATTTAAGATTCGGATTAGAATTTGTAATTTGAGTATGAGATGAAAAATGATGTGTACAAAAAAATAGGTACCAAGAATCCACATAATATGAGATTCTTTCTAAACTTTAAAAGATTTTGTAGTTAGATAAATATGGACAAAAAAATCATCAATTAGGCTGAACAATCTGAAATAATAAAAATTAATTTCTGAAAATAACATTCTTTATTAAATAAATATGAGATTATTAGATAGATAAACATGGATAAAAAAAAATATTTAACAATTAAGTTGGCATGACTTTTTGAAAAGATTTTAAAAAAATTCAAATCTTTTATTCGGTAAATGAGTGCCTAGATTTTTGTAACCTAATTCACACGTTAGACTGAAAAATTTAAGAAACAATTGATCGATTTTTTTGGGAGCAAGAATTTCAATATTCTTTCTTATTATGGGTCAGATTTACTCATTTAAGGAAATAATTGCCCATATTTTTAAAAATTAAGGTTTACACAATATCTTTTCTCAATTTTTTTTAGTTTTTTTTTTAAATTTGAATTCGAATTTTCATTCAGCCGCCATTTAAAAAAAAATACTAAAAATATTAACTTTGAAAATTTTAGACGGAAATTTTAATAATATTTTAAGTAAATCACTCTCCATATTATATAATTATAGATTATCCAGGTATATAGCTTTAAATAAAAGTGATCATCAAGATTTTATAATTTTGTTGTTTTTGGTGAATTGGCGATTTTGTTACTATCAAATCAACGTGATTTTGTTGACATTTAAGCCATGTGGATGATTAAGTCTTTTGGTTGGCATGATAAATTTTATAATACTTGATAACTACAATATTTGGTGAAAATTACTGTAATCATAACATTAAATTGCATTCAAATATAGAGTGACTATACGAAATGGAATAATTATTTTGTGCATCGTATCAATAAATCAAATTTGAAATGAAAATAAAATATATCTGTGAGATTTCATAATAGCTAAATATGCTATAATCATTTCATGAAATTAGTCAGAGTTAGAGAATTACAATTTTTTACATTATTTTAAAATAAAGCTATGAATTTACTTCACATTATAGAATTCTAATTTTTTTACATTATTTTAAATAAAGCTATTATATTATATTGTAAGTACGACTAATAAGCCTTACACAATTTTAACGTTAGATTAAAAAATAGTGAATTTTTCTTAGAAAATTCTACTAAATTTAATTCAGGGCGCATGTTATAAGCTATACAAAGATCAATTTATAGATAGATTTTTAAAATATAAAAATAATAAAAGTTTATCACACGTATAAAAATTAGCCGTCCAACATCAAATTTTACTGATTCTAAAGTGATAGAGACAATATATTAGCTAAAAAATAGTGATATATCTAAAATACATATAATTGAAAACAAACAAAATTGAAATATTTTTCTACCAAATATCAAGTTTTGAATTTTAATAGTTTCCATCATATTTTCAAAAAATAGCGTAGAGGCTTTTCATTTGTTAGTAAATAGTATATGAAATAAATAAATATAAATATTTGATTTTATGTATTTTGATGGTTTAAAGAATATAATTTAACAATAGTTTAAATGGATACAATTTACAGAAATTTTTACCTGATTGGCCATAAATTGAGGGAAGAAATTTTCTCTCTCGCCCCATTTTACTGTACAAAACCCTAGCCTCACATCTTCATTTCGTCGCCGATTAAGCCTTCTCCGGCGCTGGAAGGGTTCGGGCCAGTGGTCACCCTCGACCGCTCGGCCGCCCCCGATAACGTGACTCTCCGATTTTGCTGCAAAAGCTGCTTCAATGAGTGCTCTGCCCTTGGTCGTCGACGAAGAGCGTCCGCGGTGGTGGGCCTCGGTCGGAGGCGGGCGGTCTCCCTCTGATAACGCCAGCAGTCTTCGATTGGTGGGTTCACCATCAATTTCATTGGGTCGGCACTCGGAGGCTCCTCGGGCGATTTCAGGCTGGGCTTCTGAGTACGGATTTTGGGGCTCGAGCTCGAGATATCAGCGGACTGCGGTGGTGTTGGGAGGCGTGTTGGTCGGCGGGCGGAACGGGACTCCAGCGTCTGCGACGTCACTCGTCGGGGTGCGGGAGTAGCGGGACTAGCCATCTCTCATTCCCTCCGGTTCTCTGATGTTGGGGACTGGGTGGGTCCGGCGCCTTTTAGTTTGGCTAGTGGTGTTAGGCGAGCTAATGTGGGGTTGTTGCAGGGAGTTTGGCTGGTCGTTTGCTCGGTTGAAGGTAGGTTGATTCGGGTTAGTCTCGGGATCTAGGTTTAGCTTCTGTATAGGCGTTCGGCAGCAGTTTCGGAAGTTGAGCATCGGTCTCGGTTCTCTCTTGAATTGGTTCTCTACTGGTTTTGATCCATTCTTTTTGCTGGGGAAGGGC